TGGTTTGGGTTTCCAGACAAAATCTCTGATCTTATTATGGAATGCGTGACCAAGGTATGCTTCTCTATTCTTTTAAATGGCAAAAATACAAGTTGGATTGATGCTAATAGTGGATTTCGACAAGACTGTCCTATGTCTCCTTATCTTTTTATTATGCGCTCTCAACTTGTATCCAATGCCATTAATCAAAAAGGACATATCTGGGTATCCAAACTTCAGCTGGAGCTCCAAGAATTACTCACCTTATGTATGCAAATGATGTGCTTTTATTTGAAACCGCTTCCCCTCGCACGCTTCATTCTATGATGAAACTAATTGGTGAATATTGTAACTAGACTGGACAGTCCATTAATAGTTCAAAATCACAGATCCTTTTCGGGAAATCTGTAAATAATTCTTTGAAGAGTAGAATTGGCAAGAAGTATGGCTTTAAAATTGTAAATGAACAGCACTATTTGGGTATTAAAATTGTTTTGAGAAGAATGGTTAAAAATGACTTTCAACCCATCATTGACTCTGCCTTAGAGAAAATAAATGCTTGGGGTGCTAGATTTCTTTCACTTGCTGGTAAGATGATTCTTACTAAATCATCTTTACTTGCTTTATCTACCTTAATTTCTACCCATTCATTAGTTCCAAAATCAATTCTTCAAGAGTTTGACAAAATTTGTAGAGATTTTATTTGGCATAAAGACCATGGTAGGAAAGGTCTTCATTACATTGCTTGGGCTGATTTATGCAAACCCAGAAGTATGGATGGAATGGGTTTATTATAAGCTGTTAAAAAAACCGGTCCGCTTAGAGCCAAATTATCCTGGAGATTTTTACAGAATCCTTCTTCATTGTTGCATAGATGCATTGCGGCTAGATATGACACTGATATTTGGTAGGGTGGTTCCAAATACGGCCATTCGGCTGCTTGGTCCATTTTTTTGGATGGGGTTTCCTCATTAAGACCAATTGTAAAATGGCGAATTGGCAATGGTAAGAACATCAACGTCATGAAGGATATTTGGTTAATGGATAAGTGTTTTAACGGCCTGTGCTAGCTGACTACATTGGCTTGGACGGGTTAACATTATAGCATTTTATTCAGCAAGATGGCCATTGGGTTTTGAATGAACTAAATCGGTTCTTCAATAAGGAAATTATGGATATCATCTTACAGAATTGTGTCATCAATAAGGAACACGAAGACCAGATTGAACCTCTTTTTCAACTCTCTGGCAAGTCTATTTCTGCTTTGGCTTATGCCGAAGCTATCAAACACAATGCTCAAAATGAAAATTTTGGGTTCTCTAATTGGTTAAGGAAGCTGAAACTTAAACCAAAAATTGAACTTTTCTGGTGGAGAATGAGCATATTTGCTTTACCCACCAATGAATTCTTGAAGTATAGAAGACTTCAACAATTTGATTCTTGTCCTAGAGGTTGTCCAGAAAATGAAAACTGCTCACACATTGCAGTTCATTGTAAACACCTCATTGACATTATCTGTAAATTGCGAAGTTGGGGCTTTTCTATTCCTATTTTCCATTCTTTAAAGGACTGCTTATCGCCGCTTAGAGAACTTGCCATTGACCACGTGAATTTGGTTAAAATCTACTACACTGCTGTCTATTACTCTTGGAAATGTCGAAACAATAGCCTGCACGGTAATCCTATCTTACCATTATCTATTGTTGCTTCCAATATTCTTTCTACCGCCACTACCAAGTTCCAATGCTAGTTAACTGGGGTGCTCCTCTCCGTTTGAAGTCTAAATCTTTTTGGTACCCACCACCACTAGATTGGATCAAAATTAATGTGGACGCTTAACTCCTTGAATCTAATTTTGCAAATATTGGAGGCATTGTTCGGGACCATAAAGGCAGACTATTACTTGCCTTTGGTAGACAGAAGATGCATTGGGACATCAATCAACTTGAATTGGAGGCCATTGTGACTTTGAAAGATTTTCTTCATGAAGGGATGTTTGAATACAAAGGAGTAATAATCAAAGGTGGCAATTTCAATGTGATCAAATTCCTTCAATATTCGATGATGAAATGAAAAGCGAAGTGCTTGATTTCTGAGAAATTATCCTTCCTCAATGATTTCAATAAGGTACTCTTTCACCATATCAATAGAAACGATAATAAAGCTACCGATCTGTGTGCAACTTTAGCTTTGGATATAAATTATTGTTTTGATAATTCTTCTTTCTTTGATATTCCTTTTTCATTGTTTTGTATTTTGAAGAAGGAATATGAGAGTTGCATTGATTGATTAGTTTGTAATAGTTTTCCTTTTCTTTTATTTAATGCAAATTTACAATTTAAAAAAAAATAAAAGAAATATATGTTGAGTACTAATGAAGATTATTGTTCTATAAATTGTTAAAAGATGTTTTCAATGTTATCCTTCTTTTTATTTAATGCATATAGTTGTCATATTTGTAGTTAAAACTTAGTCTGACATATAGCCTCGATGAAGGAATGCAAGAACAACCATGAGTATTGAGATAGAATGTTTTGACATTCTAGGCTCTTAAGTAGATATTATAACTGCAAGAGTTCAATAGATATTCTTTTCACCCCTACAAGCTCGATAGAGATCCAGGGATACATACGCTCTAAATCACATTACTTTGAAGAGTCTCATTAAAAAATATATGCAATTTATACTAATGAATCTAAAACACATTAATTTAATATTATATTAAATATTTTATTATTTTATTCAGTGATATAATCTCTAAAAAATTATTTTAATTTCAGTATGATAATTATTGCAATTAGAGTAAATAGTAGTAGTTTGTTGCAAGTAAGCATACTTCTTCGCGGGCCCGACACTTTACTCTATCACTTAATTACTTAATTCAACACGTATACTTACGTATATTAAGTGTGATTTGTTATTATTTATATTAAAGAAAACCTAAGTATTATTTAGAAGTAACAACACCAATAATTGATCTAATATAAGTTGTTGATTTCAGGGATGATGAGGATGTCGAGTATTGCATTGATAGTACAATGATGAGTGTAAATTATGTACTATTTATTATGTTCGATCAATTTTAATAAAAATATATTATTTTAGTTGTTTTGTATAGGAAAAACTAAAAAATGGTGACTTAGTGTAGCTCCTTATTTTGTCAACTGTTATGCCACGATGCTAACAAGGTTGAGCATTGTGGAGCTTAAATGTGTAATCTAACGCTGATGTTGCGACATTTTATGGTTTGACACTCCAATGCTTAAATTCCCGAGACTCTGGAGCTGCTGTACTGATTTCTGGCGTTGCAGCATTGACTTTGGCTCTAGAATTGCACTGAATTGAATTATATTTTCCCTAAAGCTCCACTATTGTGATTTCCTAATTTTGCGTTGGGGCATCGCAGAAGCTGTGGCGCTGGTAGTTGAAGAGACGTGGTGCTTGTTCAACACTTAGGAATTTTTTTCATTTTTCTGACATTTCTCCAGAACAAGAACTAAACTATTTTTTTACTAATATTTAAGATAGTAAAATGCTATAAAATTTATACGTAACAACTAGTCGAAAAGATAATAATCTTCATAAATAGATTGATTTCAAGATCACTTTACTTGCCTTATTTGACTTATTCAATTTTTTTTTTAATATTTGAAAGCTTTAAATTTATTTATTTTTCTTTCTTTTTTTACCTTTTATTTTAAGTTATCAGTCTATGTTATAATATTTTATTGGCTCCTATTGATTTTCAAATTTATCTAAACTAAGAAAAGACCATAAATAAGATCTTACTTTTTACTTTTTGATTCTTTGAATAAAAAATATTTTTGCTTATGTAAATTTCATGTGGAAAGGTTTGGTGGATATTGAGCTCTTTGGTGAAATTTAGTGGCCAATCTCCTAGGGCTTTGATGAGTCCATGGTTGTTTTTTTTTACCTTTATCCTCCTCTTTCCTAACATAATTTTCATCTCCTCAACATAGTCTCAAGCCTATCTTTTCAACGTCAAAATCAATCCAAACTCTTTAAAACTCTCCCAAATATTCTCTCACATCCATCATAATCTTCTATGACCTCAATTCTCCAATAACCCTAATATTCCAAAGTCAAAATATCAATAAGAGATAATTTTATGCTATGAACAATCAAATAAAAAGTATCTTAACTCCTTAACCACTTATCCAAAGCCCATAAAAATACGATCCCAAACTTTTGGTCTATAGTTTCTCACTGTTTTTTCTCCAAGAAAAACTCATCTTTTAATAGCCTACAAATCAATCTCAGTCCTAAGGGAATACAAATCAAGTTGTTACCTTCACTAATATGATCATATTAACCTGACGTAATAATTTTTATATGAACTTTATAATTTATATTTGTTTTGTTATACATTTTGTGTTGCATGCCTTAATTTGTATTCTTAGCATTATGAAAGTTATGTTATCTCTTAAATTGTACTTTGTTTTGTCATGACTATTTTTTCTCACTATTAAATTGCATTCTATTGTGTTATAACAGTCCATTATACTTCTTGAATTGCATTATATCTTATCTACATTATAATATATTATTTTAACCATTGTGATTGCCGTCGCTTTTCTATTTTGCCTTGCAATTTGTTGTGTTAAGGTTATTAAAACTTACCTTGTTTTTGTTGAGTAAATCATATTTTATCATGGATCAAATATGATGCAAATACTAATTGAATAACATTTGAACCATGTTGAATTATTATTTAAGCTATATTTAAACTTTACTCAAATAAGATTTCAACTTGGTTCAAATTTTATTTGATCTTTATTCGGTTCACATTTGAACTATGATAAAATCTCATTCGAATTTTTATTGAATATCACATTATGTTCGAACATGATTTTAATAATATTTTCAAAATTTTTTAAAAAATCTATATTACTGTGAGAAATTAAAAAATTTATTTATGATAAATAATAAACATATATATTTTTTTATCCCAGATAAAATTTCTTTCATAATTACAGGAAAACAACCTTACTGGGAAGTTACATATTTTTCCAATTCACTGTTAGGAGGTGCATCAAGCCGATGCTACCTTGCTCGACTATTCCAGACGAGGAAGAACACCAGCGGGAGAGATGGCTTCCCGCCTCCAACTCGGCGGCGACAAAACGGTCCTCTTGAGGGTCACCCACTCCAACATCAAGGGTTTCTCTTCCGAAGTGCGCTTCGATCTGGAGGTAGATAAGCTCCCCCTTTCTCCAAGCTTTCACTACTTCGATTGCGCCTCCCCTGAAACTGCAGCCTTCCGATCCACTTCCAGATGTCTGTGGAGGCTGCTAAAGAGAAACTATGGAAGAAATGCGGAACCTCAGTTGATTCCATGCTCCTGGTGCTCTACGACGATGTGGGCTCCAAGATCTGCGATCTTAGCGACAATGCGAGCCCATTAGGGTTTTACTTCCCATTGAACGGGTTCGTGTATTTTCGATTATTATGCAGAGTTGTTGATTTTTTCTTATGATAGATAGACTAAGATGCTGTTTGGTAGCAGGATTTAGCCTAAGGGCATCTCCAACCGAACGGCAAACACTTGTTTGCCGTTCTTGTTTTGCTCCAACGGATCGCCATTTTTTACCCCATTTGATCGCGGATGAACAGTGCGACGCCAATATTGGCGTCGCACTGTTCACTCACGCCATTTTTTGCTCTCAACCGGAAAAACGCGCGAAAGGGAGGACGATCGTTACCTTCTCAAAAACACCTAAAATGGCGTTCGATTGTAGCATCACCGCGCCATTTTGGAGTTTTGCGTTACTTTGCCGTGAAAAATGAAGTTTTCGGTTGGAGATGCCCTAAATCCTGACAAACAGCAAAATAACAACTTTAAATTCCATTTCTACCCTGGTAGAAGTAATTCTCCAAAGTGGAGTAACTAATCTCCAACTGAATTCCATTTCTTAACAACAAAAAAGAATATTATGTGTATTTTATTTCTTATATATTTTTTATATTTATTTTTAATCATATCTTTATATCTATCAATTTTTCAAATTAGACCTACGTATAATTTTTTTTTAATAAAAACAAATCTTACTTGATGAATTAATTTGGAATACAAATATGCGCTTAATAAAATAAATATTTATTAAATAAAATAAAAATTAAATTAGAACACATACATAAGAATGAAAAAAGTATACATGTAACTAAACATTAGAAGTAGTATATTGCTCCCACAAATGATCAATCAATGCATTTCACAATGTGATGTGTACATCTTTATCCCTAATTTGTCTATGGTGAGTGATAAATTCTCGAAATCGGATATTTTCATTTACAACCACTTCGACCTAATAGGGTGGTGCTTCTCTCGCAATTTGAACTGATTCACTAAGATTTCATTCATCTTTGATTATCATGTTATGCAAAATTATACAAGTAGTTATTATATCATGTAGCACTTATTTGCTCGAAAAACATATCGATCTTACCATAATTACGAAACGAGATTGGTGAGCTCCAAAAGCATGTTCTATATTTTTTTATATGTTTTTGTTTCATTGCAAAATATTATTTATTTGGACCACGTGGCTGTTGAATAGTTTGTACAATAGTGGATCATTTTATATATATATATATATATTATCAATCAAATAATAACCCATATTATATTCTTTTTGTTGAGTGACATAACAATATGGAGGAGCAATATCTTGAGCGAGATTAGAGAATAGGTGTGAAGACTCGAACATGTTGATATTATTGTTGGTGTGAAGACTCGAAAGTAATCGTGCCATATCAAAAGATCGTAATCCACTACGGCTTTGAGAATAATTGTAGGTGTTCTAGTACATCCCGTGTATTGCTCAACTCACCCAATAGGATACTTTTTTTTACTTGCATACAATCTAAACTATCCAACATTATTGGAAAATCACATTGTTCATTAATGTGAGGAAGCCTAACCACATCATTGATTGTTGTTGATCTTTAATTTTGCTCTGAAAATATATGCACTTTTGCTCAACAAAATCTCTTCACACTTTTAATTATTGTTGATTCACCTATTCTGTTGTACTCGTTCGTGGCATCTGCTAGTAGTCCATATGTCAACATCCAAAAGATGATGTTACTCTCTGAAGGGGTGAAAACCAAGTCTAACGATGCGATCCATTCATTAGTGGATGAAGTTGTCATGTGCTTTAATTATATCCAATATGCGAAGGAATAATGTTCGAGACATTCGATATCTCTGTCGGAACATTGCATTATTGTACAATGGTTTTCTTAAGAAGTAATATTTAAATATTCAATAATCTGCAGTCTCCCGATCACGGTTGATAAAAGTGTGCCCTGTAATTGGAATTTTTATTACCTCAGGTTACCTGATGTAGAGATACATCAGGTAGCCTATAATATATCACCACGTGCTCTTACTCTTTACCGTGCGGCCCGACGACCCAACCCGGAACGAATCCGGAATTACTATAATCGCGTATTGCTCGGTATTTGCTCGGTATTGCTAGGTACTACTCGTTATTTGCTCGGTATTGCTCGGTATTTGCTCGGTACTTGCTCGGTAATGCTCGGTATTTGCTCGGTAATACTTGGTTTCGTGCTTGGTAATGCTCGGTATTGCTCGGTATTTGCTCCGTACTTGCTCGGTAATCCTCGGTATTGCTCGGTAATCCTCGGTATTGCTCGGTATTTGCTCGGTACTTGCTCGTTTTTGCATCCCATCAAACTTCGTTGCTTGCGATCCGGTGAAAAGGGAAAGTCGTCGATGGAGAAAAGTCGAACGGCCACGAGCCGGAAGCATCACCCGACTCATCCATAGCATTGCCCGACCTAGCCTCCTGGTCGGAAGCCGCAAGCTCTTCGTTCTCCATGTCGGAGCTGTTAGCACGCGGGGAGGCCTCACCCGAATGGCAGCTGCTGTTCTCCTCCACCTGGACGGGATCAATGCTGGGACCGAGAGCTTCATTCCTCCCAGCAGCAGCAGGTGGGGAGATGCCAATAGAACTCATGATGAGCTCCCGAACAGTATTGGACTTGGAGCAGGCGTCCGGTCCGGCGTGGTGCTTCAGTCGGGCAATGTCCTCCCCATTAGTGAAGGTTATCTCCATAGCAAGCGGGATCTCGTTTTTGCTTCCGATCCCGAGCAAATACCGAGCATATCGAGCAAGTACCTGGCAATACTGAGCAAATACCGAGTAGTACCTAGCAATACCGAGCAAATATCGCGCATATTCGTTCCGGGTTGGGTCGTCGGGCCGCGCGGTAAAGAGTAAGAGCACGTGACGATATATTATAGGCTACCTGATGTATCTCTACATCAGGTAACTTGACGCAATAAAAATTTCTGTAATTGAGCCTTCTGCAGAAACTTGGTTAATAGGTTGTGTGAGTAGGTATTGGATCATTAGATTGTTATTTGTGATGACATGATATATCATTGCTTCTTCATTTTCTAAACTGTGTATAAGTTGAAGTGTCTCTTCTTTATTTGAGGAGGAAGATGCAAATGAAAATTTTTCAAAACTAGCATTCATTTTGTGAGGTTAAGAACATTTGGAGATATGGTATTTATAGGAGAAAGTACAGGAATCTTAAAGGACACATGATAGTGATTTGTCAAATCTGCTCAGGGCTACTCTAGAAGTGTGAAAATCTTATATGATATGATGTAATGATTTGTCACATCCAACCAGGGCTACTTGAGAAGTGTGCTAATCTTATAACATATTGCAGTGATTTATCACATATGATCATGGCTACTAGAGATGCGTGAGAATCTTACATGACACAGGATAGTGAGTTGTCAAATATGCTCAGGGCTACTTGAGATGTGTGAGAATCTTATTGGGCATGGTGTAGTGATTTGTCATATCTGGTCAGGGCTACTTGAGAAGTGTGAGAATCTTATAGGACACAGTGTAGTGATTTATCACATATGCTCAATGCTATTTGAGAAGTATGAGAATCTTATAGGATACATGATAGTGAATTATCAAATCTGCTCAGGGCTATTTGAGAAGTGTGAGAATCTTATAGGATACAGTGCAATGATTTGTCACATCTGTTTAGCGCTACTTGAGAAGTGTAATCTTAAATGACAAAGCAAGAAGGATGCTAAGCATGCCAATAGAGTTATAATTAGGAGTGAGGTGCATGTCATCAAACTCCATCAATTTTATATCCGATCTTCTACAACTATTAACCCATCCAAAAGAATGTCTATCCGATCTTTTGCATATTCTCAGGAGTAAGATAAGTTATTATGTTGAATTTACGTGGAGATTTCTCAAGACCCAATCACGGGTATATACCAATCATCAGATAATTTTTGGTCATGTGTGGAAGAAGTCTACAATAATTCTATAAGCTAGAGTTGGGAGATGCATTCAAAAAGATTTGTTCAGTCTCATATTCAAACTATTAAGCAGGCAACAAGGAAGATGCACACATACATTCGACAAGTTGAAAACAGACAACCCAACGGTGCTTCAAATAAAGATATTAAGAGTATTAATCTTCTTTTTTAAAATATGTATTATTCATCTGACTACTTATTTAATTATAGCTGTTTATATTGATTTACAATTAAATCAAGCCAAATTATTGTTTGCGCCAAATGAGAAGTTCATATAAGGTTAAAAGTTTGATCATATGTGGAATATTATTAAAAATTTTGAAAAATTTCAAGATGGTCATTATAGTGCTCGACAAGCATCTCGTAGGTCAAGTTTTGGGTATGCCTCATCAGAGTTAGAAAATCTAACACTTGAATCTGCTAAGTAATAATTTCCTGGACTCTTTGCGTTTTCTCTAAATTTAGATGCTGACAAATATAATGTTTGTGACTCTCAATCTGAATGACCAATTGGGGTGAAGAAGGCTTTGGTTTGACTTGTGAATGACTTGGCTTGGTTTGTTTTTGATGAAGATTTTGATGTGGCATGTAGAAATTTTTTTAGTATTAATGAGGGGTGGTTGTGAGCTTTGTTGGAGTTGGTAGGGTGTTGGAAAATAAAAACTGCCAAACAATAAGAAATGAAATCATGCTTCCACAAAATTTTCAATAAAAAATCTTAAAAGATGAACAATCAAAGAGACAAAGAAATCAATAGGATCAACACTGTGGTTGAATCACTTCCAAGCAAAAGATTGAATGCTCTTGAATCACTATTGTCTGCTCTGATGCTCAAATGATGCTATGGTAACGAGCTATTCCTTGATCTTCTCCTTTTCTCTTGCTTGGCCAAAATCCTTAAGCAAATTTTTTGGTGAGAATATTTTGATGCTTGAAAGATGAAGGAGAAAGATAACACAAATTAAAAGATAGGGCTCTCAAAGAGGATGAGAGATGCCAATCGTCTTGGCGATTAGGAGAGGAGAGAAAGGGAGGTAGAACATCTTAGTGTTTAATGTTGGAGGATCATTGCCATAGGGAGGTAGGCAATTGCTCTGCTCCAATTTTTCAACAATCATTCAATCCTTAATACATGCTAACTGGATGTATGATGATAATCTATAGGGAGCAAACTAATAGCTTCGAGCATCACTTTTGGAAAAGGCTTTCCCATGAAATCTAAACAGCAGTTGTTTTGATCAACTTTATCTTGATATTACTTTTGAGTGCTCCTTCTGCTTCTCTTTTTCTATTTTTTTCACACCATGTATTTTCTTTGGAAGGTACCATATCAAAGTTATAGATCAAGATCCCTCGTCAGTGAGCTCTGGTGGCTGGTTGGATGACACCTCATTAGTTGAGAAGTATAAAATTTCAGAAGAAGCCTATAATAAACTTGACTGTATGTCTCTTGAACCTGTAATATGAGTAGTTTGCTTAAGTTCTTTGTTACCCTATTGCAATACTTGGCATTTCTTTGGTTATTATTGTTTGAAGGATTATTTGAAACTTGATTTTGATGGGACAACCATAAAAACAAATGTCAATACTGAACTCTCATCCTCCTCTCCGCCTACCGATCAGCTCGACATCCACCCACTCTTCTGCACAAAAAAATAAAAATAAAAAGTAAAAGAAAAGCCTTTGTGATAAGAGGCGGAATTTGCAAATGATCTTTTGGTTATTTGAGAGTGATGGCATGGTAATAAGCCAACCAAATCTTCATGAACACGTCCTTAATGTAACGGATGCATAAATTTGGGGTGATGGTATGGATTAGTTAATATGGTTTAGTTTTTACTGAAGTGGCTTTAAATAACTATGGAGTTTGTAAAACAACGTGCATGAATTTTTTGAATTATGGAAGGCATCCATCCTACTTTTGTTGGTTGTTGGTCACTTTATAGATACTGTTATATGAAATTTTATAATCGGATGGCACATCAAAGAGGAAGTTTGAATTGATATTTTTAAAAAAATATTATCTTTTAAAATAATTTAAAACTTTAACAAATATTACGGAATAAGCTAAATAATTTTACAATTAAAAACCAAAACACATCACACGTAGCAACTTAGGTGCCAAGCCATTAGATTGAATTTTAGCTGACTACAATGTTAGACCACGAAAATATTAGAAAGAATTATTATAATGAAAAAACACGTACAAATCCTTGAGATTGATTACACCACAAAAATTCTTGAGCTTAGGATGGTGATCATTTCAACTCAAAAGAATATTTCATCTTAAAAACTTTCTCAAGGGTGGTTCTCGCATGCAAGCATGAGACGGATCATTAGCCTTAAGGAATGAGTTTGGGGATATTTATAAGCTTACAAGTCTCCCATAACAAATGCCAATTCATAAAGTCAATCGATGGCTCATTGAACGATCGTATTGTGAGATTCTCAAAACTCCAAATATCTATATGACGACTACTTTATTTTTGATGAGGACAATTAATATATTGAAAAATCATGATAATTTTTTTAAATAAAAAATACGTTGTATATTATATGTTGCCGCATGTAAAAAATTCAATGAACCCAATTGAACAAGAAACTTTCCCTCATTCATTCAATATAATACAATTTCATCATTAATACTAATTATTATATATTTTCTTGAAATCTTAAATATATTAATTAAGCTCCAAAAATCTAAAATGTTTTATGTAGAATTATATTTATGTTAATAAGCTCTCATAAAAAAATTAAGCAAAAAATAAAAACTTTAGACCTATTAAAAAATTCATAAGATATGCATTTATTTATTTTTAATTGCTATAATTAATTATACTTAACTTATTTTGCCAAATTCTTGCTATGCAAGAACCATATGAAATCATGCAAACTTTCCAATATGAAAAATACTTAATTAAAGAAGATTATTGATATTTGAATTATTCTAATTATCCTTAATGAGATGTTTAATCACATTAATATTTTATTAGCCATAATTATACAAATTCAATATTTATAATAAAACCTTCATAATCAATTGAATTCGTAACACAGATAGTTGATAATTATTATATTAATTAACCAATTAAGCGAATGATCAGAAAAACAAATAGAATTAAACATAATTTACTCATAATTACTTAGGGAAATAATTAAACAAATAGAAAATCAACCCCTCTAGATACTAAAAAAACTATAGAATTATTATGCACGTTTGAAAATAAGCTTTGAATATTTTTAATTACTTTTTGATGTCTTCATTGCTCTAAAGATCAATGATTATCAAACTCAAATAAACTTTATATTGAATGATAAGCACAATACACTGAGCTATACTAAAATTCTTGGAGTTATGTTTTCAACGCTTTAGCCCTCCAAGCAGGTCAATTCTCCATTTGCTTAGTAAATTTCCTTCATCATCTTGATGGTTGTTGTGAAAAGATAATTCTTGAAATCAAATACATAGCAAACTGTTAGACGACACCAAACAATTTTTGCTATCATTAAACCAAATAATGGGATACACATGAATATTTACTCAACAAATTTAGAGGGCCAGGCCACATGTAATGTCTGATTACGTGCATGTAGTCATAAACAAATGAGCTTATTGAGAATACAACCATTTCTCTTTGATATATTGGGCTCAATATATTGTTTTGATGGAGGAAGCAAAATAAGACGAATAAAAAAAATAAGAGTTGAAGACTTTTGCTTTTTCATTTTGTATGGAAGGAAAAACTTGTTTTTTTCTCTATTAATCTTTTTATTGAAATGGGATTACCTTTTACTATTCTATTTGCTCGTTTTGTTATCATGCATTTTGTTATCTTTGTAAATTGACATTCCTTACTATGCTTAAACCGCGTATCACAAATTTTCTATTCTTTCAGCTAATTTTAGAAAATTCAAGGAGAAGATGTTATCACAAAATGCAATGACCCATGAAAAAAAAGTAAGCTTTATGTTTCTTTCCTTATTATCCATGTTGCACACCTTTTTAGCCCAATTGTTAATCGTTGTCCTCATCCTGCAAATTATAAACTTAATTACTTTCATAATTGAACTACTATTAGTTATTTTGGAAATATTTTCTACTAATCTTCTCTTCTACCATATGTCGTAAAAAAGATTCTCTATGCTGGTGATGAGCATTGTTTATTTACTCTTGGTTTCTGATGTAAAAAAGTACCTTCCTAACTTTCTTCTTATGTTTCAGTTACCAGAGAACTACGTTGATGATCTATGCAAAAGCATTAAAGTCAGTATTGATTTTTTTTATTTCTCTATATCAAGATAATTTGCTAACAAGAAACAAATTTTTTCTTTGGTTTGCCTACCTTCTTTTTTAAATTCATGGCACGCTTGTTGGTTCATTTTGGTGATACTTTATCTATGCTGTAATACGGATGAACTTTAATAACTAATATAATCCTAAAGCTATTGTTTCTTCACCCAATATTTATAGCAATGTTGTATCTAATCATCATTTACATCTTACACATCATCCATTATGAAAAAGAGATAAAAGTATTGCATGACATGGAGTTACTCCCATTTCACTATGTTTATTCAGTAGCTCAACTAGAAGTTGTCCATATTACTAGAACCTTTATTATAACTGTAAATTAATCCTGATCTTTCCTGTAATTCATTTCATGGGAATGTTAAGCCATGAAAACCAAGTAATTGAATCTCCACCTTGATGTTTTCTTAATTAATCTTTATCTTGCCGGTGATTAATTTTATGAGAACAAAAAACATTATCAGCGTAGTAGAGTGTCTTTCTTTATGTTTTTGTCATGACGTTTTATTATTATTTTTTTTAGTAATGTCACTTTCTTCATACAGGTGGGAGACAGATGTGAAGTTGAGCCTGGAGAGAAAAGAGGAGTTGTCAAGTTTGTCGGAAAAGTTGAGAATAGAGGCCCTGGCTTTTGGATTGGAATTCAATTAGATGAGCCACTGGGGAAACATGATGGCATGTATGTAGTTTTTTTTTTCCTTCAGCTACTTTTGGAATATAGTTTGATGGATGTGGCCATTCGGGGGTCCTCTCTATCTATTATGATAAACACACATACTTACATCTATGCATGGACGCGCAAAACTCGCTCTACATTTTATATAACTTTGTATTTTATTTGTGCTCTGTACATATTTTAATATTTATAGATCCTTAATCCCTCTCAAAGCCTATCTAGCCGTTGGATGAGACTAGCCATTTCTGTTGCAGGCTTAACATTACGATGTGTGAACACTCATCATGACATGTGATTCTCTGCCAAATCATTCATGGAAAAGCACCAAATATTTCTTTTTTCACTTCCAATATCTTGTAGCACTAATTCTTATACTAATTTTGCTGATCAGATAATTATGAGCCCTTGTCATTCTTCTCAGGAATAATGGAGATCAACGTCCTTGCTGAATAATGTCATTAGGCTTGGACAGAGCATGATATGTCACATGATATTCATGATGATTCAACTTCGCATGCCATACTAAGCTATTTTGATTCTAGCAAGTTTTACTCATGCATGTTCAAAGTAGGTGTTGGGTTAGAATTTGTTTGGTGGATAGTATCCGACTTTACTAGCAGTTCAACTTAGTGTGCTGAGAATCTGTTAGTGAGAATGGAGAGTAAAGAGGAGTAGAGAATAAATTGACAAAATCTCCACCACCTTAATTAGAAAATATAAGATTTAGAAAGTCTAGAGGAAAAAGTCCTTGAACTGTCCCCCAATCACCCTATTTTTATAGGGTTTTGGTGGCCATTGGAAAGGCTATATAGCGAAAGATAAACATAGATGCTACATAGAACACCAGTATAACGCTACACGCTAGTCTACTGTATGTGTCACCTCTCCATTGTTTGAGAGGTGGAGTTAATAGTCGGATGAGCTTTCTATTCTTGAGCGAGCTTGAAAGAGGCAAGTAGTTGTAAGGCAATTCAGTGAGCGAGTCCTGAGACTAGATGAACCCGTAACTAACTAGTCGTCTTGTCAGCCTAACAAATGTTGTAGGAGGCTCGAGATTGCCTTGTCATGTAAGGCGAGTAGAGAGGTTGGCAAGGATGAAGGGTGTTTGAGTTGGAGCATGATAGTAGTTGCTGAGTGGAGTGTTGGATCTCTGAAGTAGGCACTTTCATGCAGCTAAGTTTAGTGAGCTTGAAGGAAATGACCTGATTGAGATGAGTGGCGATCTATAAGGAACTTCTTGGTCGCCCAGAGTAGGGTGAGCTCCTTGGTAGAGGTGGGAGAGTAATGCTCATCGTTCTTCTTGGGTGAGTTTCTCTGTTGGTCTCGGGCAAGTCCCTTGAGAGATATGTTCCTGAGGGGGGTGCCCTCATTATGACCCTATCGCTACCTATAAGAACACCATAGAATGCGATCATGGGTGTGCATTTAGTTTTCCCGATTCACTCGGCCCTTTGATAGGCGAGTGGTGAAAAAAAGCGAGTAAATGAATATTAAACATGATTACCAAGGACTGATTTGGCCTTGCATTGATGATGTTGTCGTGGCATCACGCCACACTTGGGCCTCCCTTTTATGACATTGAAGGGAGTTTATTTTTCCTGCTCAGTGTAACCAGTGAATCATCAAGTGTTTTGAGGGATGGATCTGATCCTAGCAGCTTGCGAGTGTAGCAGAGCAGCCAAGAAGGCAGTTTTTCTCCAAGGGAGATCTATTCAGGCTCTATAGATGGCTGCGAACACTGCGATGGCCTCCTCAAATAAGGAGGGTGATAAGGGCGAGGCTCGGCAGGAGATTCGACCTGTGGAACTCGTCGTCTCACCCCTGCAAGGAGAGCCATAATTGAAGCTGGGGAGATGACATCTGCTACGAAGGAGCCGACTTTCATTACTATTGGTAGGTTGCTTGTTGCTTTTGCCTCTTGTGCCTCTGTGGAGCAGATCTTTGGGTGGAGGATGAGGATGTTGAGTGTGACGACCCCTAATCTAGTTTAATGTATTGATATTTAGGATCAAAAAAATTCATTTTACACAGCCATTAAACAATAGTAAATATAATAATGTTATATTTTATTCCCTTCAAAATGTTTATATTACAATTATGATGTTGCGAAACTCTTTTAAAATTCTACATCCATGTTATAACATCTATTATTGGATTATTCAGACAAAAGCAAAAACAAGAACATAACACTTACAGACTAATAGGACTTCTTTCTGAATCTAGCCAACAGGCTCTTTCTTTTTTCCTAAAAATAAGCTAACAACTATGGTGAGCAATCACAGTACTCAACAAACTTCTAAAAACTCACTAAAGCATTTAATGATAATTCTATAATAACTTTCATCAAAATTTATCATATATGAAAAGGAAAAAATTTCATACGACCTGGTGGAGTGGCACAAGATCTGCCTCTTCACATAAGGTGCTAGGTGGAATATGATGCCATAGCCCCTCTGAGGCATATCAAATCCAAGTTGAATGAGACAAAGACACGTTTTGAATACCGACCATTGGAGCTATTTCAGGCGATTGGGGCGAGATACCATCGGGAGAGTTTCTTCTATTTCACTCGACAAAAGGAAAAACTGCAGGCGTTTTCCGCAGCAGGTCGTCCCTATTGCAGAAACCCGGACCTGCCTCCCCGCAGTATTCTAATTCAGCTTATGCCATCCTCTACCTCGACCTCGTCCCCACTGATCCAATCTCCATGCATGAAGTTCAAAATAGTAGCGAAAAGGAAGCAGGTTTTTTTGGGCAAAGAGGTTCGGAGGTACCCTCGAGCGGTGGCTGGGCAGTGATCTTTGTGGTAGCGGAGGCAAATATAAATATAGAGGATGATTCAGATTGTTTCTGGGTCTCTACTTTATCTTTATGGAAATGCATATAATATATTAGTGAACGTATAAATCATATAAAATATAACGTCCATTTACTATAAAGTTACAGTAGAAAATTTCTATCAGAGCTTTCATATCATTCCACCATATCAATTTCACATTTTACATTCTGGTTCATTTTATTGTAGCATCTCGTCTAATACCATTATTACTTCTCTCACATTGAAGCTTGTACATTTATCAAAATGGTTTACTTAACATAATTTGAATGATTCATATAGCATGATTTAAGCAATATTTGAATGCAAGCCAATTTCTCCCAATTTCTTCTTCTTTCTCCGCATGCCTCTTTATAGCTTGACATTTACCTCTCATCTCACATATACATATAGAGGATAAGCCTGCTCTTTACTCCACCTTCATCTCTCATCCATCACAAGGACAAATGGAGGATAATAATTTTACATTTATCTTCCATCTGCCATATATACAAATGGAGGACAAACTTGCTTATAACTCCACATATATCTATCATCCGTTATCATGACAAATGGAGGACAATAGTTTCACATGTCTATATCATCATACATTTGATGCCTTCAATTTTCCTCAAACCTCCTTTTCACCATGTTATAGACAAGCAATAATATGAACATGTATGAATGATTTAATTTTATAACATGATGTAGCAATACTTACAACTTTATATGTGAAGCACTTGATTGTATTTGTTATGTTATTAAGGTAATGGAATTTCTACATGATAATTATGAAAAAATTTCATGATAATTATGAAAATAACTTGCATAAATTTTCATGTTCCAAATCTACTAATTTATTTAACGTGCTAATTGGCATAGACAATCATAATTTATGAAATTGCAAATAATTTTAACTTTCAATATCCTTATAAAGCATGATTCTTATTACATCATTAAATATGCTCAATTTTTTCTTGAATTTAAAGTGCTTAATGAAATTGTACAAAATTCGTGTCAATCGAATCAATTTCAAGTATTTTATGAAATACTTAAACTTATCCAGTGAAAAAGTTATTTCACACCCTAAAACCACTCTTCCCAAATTTTGCACCCATTCAAAATTTTAAATTGAAAACTAAAGTCAGTTTTCAATAGCCTACCTTAGGAAGAACAACTTCTATAACAATCCCGACGATCATATCTTACTGCACAGCCTCTAAAATCTCTCTTTTTACCTCTCTCCTCCCTTTTCTTTAGAGCTCTCTCTCACTCTCTCCCAACAAATTAAAAAAAATGGATATGGCTAACTTATATAAAAATAAAATTTCTTAACATCACTGAATCGATTGTCACACTGTCGCTGCTTTAAGGGAGAGAGAACCTCTTAAATGTGTCCCAGCCTTATCCACAGTGATCAAAGTTCCACAACGCTAACTTGCCACGATGCCACTGTGTTCTCAACAATTCCTCCATATAAAGAGTTGAGCGCTTCCGCGCTAACACTCGGTGCCTCTGCGCTGCCCTAGGACTCACAATGTCGCAGCGCTTAGGCATACAATGCCAACAAATCAAAATTTCAAAATTTTCAAATCATTTCAAGTATTCATGTACAAACATTCTATTTCATGAGATTCTTAACAAGTTATAATTTAGCAAAAATGTACACATTTTCATAGAGTTTAAAAATTCAAGTTATTAAATCGCCCCCTCTTAAAACCAATGTTGTCCTCGATATTGCTAACTAACCAACCAATTAACCATACTATTAAACAACTAAAAAACTAAAACAAAATTTGGTAAAACTACCTTATCTCTACTTTCTTCTCCCTCTCCCAAGTTGCTTCTTTCTCAAACTCGTGCTTCCACTGAATTTTTACCATACAAATTTTTTTACTCATGTTCCTAACAACATTAAGCTAATATTCTCTTTGTATGTCAAATCAGGCCTCAATTCAATCTTATATTCAGGGACTCTGCTTTTTAAATTAGCTAGCCACTCTCTCAACATAAAACATTGAAAACATCATGCACATCTGAGATCTTCTTAAGTAATATTAACTTGTAAGCTGACTTACCAATTTTTGTATCACTTCAAAGAGTACAATGTATTTTTGGGCTCGATTTTCCTTTTCCACTAAATCTATTTACTCCCTTTAATAGATTAACCTTTAAAAATAAAAAATCT